CCCCCGGCCGCGCCGCGCCGCCTCGCGCGCGGCCCCACGTTTTAGTTCCTTTCTCCCCCGAGCGCCCCTCCGCACCCTCGCGACGCACATGGTCCGCGGGGAGGACGCTCGCGGCTCCGGGCTCCGCAGCCCTCCCGGCCGCGGCGCCCTTTGTTGAGAGGTAGATTTGGATGAGACCGGGACGGGCTCCCGAAATCGGGAGCTGCTTGGGTCAAGTGGCTAACCCCCTCTCCCGAAGAAAGGGCTCTGGAGGGGTTTGAACGTCCAGGGAACGCCCCCATTTTATAGGGACGGGATATATGGGGGCCAGCGATCCCGCCAAGGTGGGTGTTAGACTGGAGGGCACCCCGACAAAAATGTTATTAACTTAAGTTGGAGGGACACTTGTATGAAATTGGATGGCTTGTAAGATGGCGGTTCCCAGTTGTTTCCAAGGTCTTGTGCATTTCTGTAGGAAATGGTCAAGTTTTCAAGGTGCTTTTGGGTGGGAGTCTTGGACATGGGGGGTCCAAACGTGTTTTGGACCTGCTCACTGGGAAGTGGACGTTTCACATTTGGAGCTTTTTAAAAAAATATGTCCATATGTGTATGTAGTGAACATGGTGACTATATACGGTAGTCTTGATGGAGATTTCCTTTCTCTTTCCTTCTTTTTCCCTTTTTTCTTTTGCCCTCGCAAAGACTACACAACTTTTCGACCTACTACGGGACACACTCAAACTCATGAGCTCAGCCCACCAGGTTTTATAGGTTTTGCTACATGTCAGTCTAGGTCATGTGGTAAAAGGATGCTCTGGGAAAGGAACACTAAAAAGTTGATTGCTTATGTTTACCCAGTCATTTGGGCTTGACAGCGATGGAGCATGATCTTTTCCCCAGAGATTTACAGTTAATAATTGGAAATAAACAAGTAGAGAGACTTTGATCATTCCCAGTTGCAATAAAAGGATTTAGTGGGCTTAGTGGTCACGGTTCAATATCTGAAAGAGAGTCGTGCATTAACCCCTTCCCTTAAAGTAGGCAAAAATTCTGAGCTTATCTATCCAAAGGCAAGTGTTAAGTTAGTGGCATGCAAAATGTTAGGAGTAGCTTAACCTGTCTATAATGGGAATCTTAACCTTCTCCCTTCCACTCCCCAAATTCTGGAAACAGTCTAAAAAGTTATACTGGACTTGATACTTAAAGGATGTAAATTGTTGACAGAACTATTAGGAGCTTTCCTAGTAAGATTGAGGTTTTAAGTTGATTCGCCAGAGGTTATAAGTAGAATTTCTCAGAGGTTGATTTTATGCGTAAAATCATATAAAAGTTTTATACTTGAATTCGTTTCCATACATCTCCCCCAACGTGAAGTCAAGGGATGCTTGCAATAACCTACTAGTGCAAATTATACCCCTAGTAATAATATCTTTAAAGCTATATGAAAGACACTGTGTGCCTGTGTATCAGATAAGTTTTTGTAAGAAAATTAGGCATTTAACTGTATTTGGCAAATTTATTAATACTCCACCACTAAGTTCTGGGATGGATGTCAAATACCCAGACAGGCAAAAAAAAAAAATTCTCCCCATAGTCAACTCCAAATTTACCCATACTTATGTTGAGCTCTGATCCCCAACTGGGGTTATAGAGTTCATTTGCATTTCTTAGATTGCTGTAGTCTTACTGATTGTTAACATAAGAACTTGCTTCTGTTTTCCTTCATTTTGACATCTTGGGTGTTAGGCCTCCAACTAAAAACTGACAGTCCCAACTGAGTAAGCTTTAATGGCAAGTTTTAACAATAGAGTATTTACAGTTGTAGGGTGCATTTTTACTGGCTTATGAGTAGTTGTGTGTTAGAATCTAGATGGTTTTTATTTCTAAAGTGCAAGAGATTATCTTAAATTAATCAAGCATGTCAAGCATTTTGGAAATCTTCATTAAGGTTGTCAGTACTTCCCAATAGGATACAAAAAGGTTTAAAATTAAGTAACAAAGTGATACTTATTAGTATTGTGAATGATGTAGGATTGTGACTGATTCTTCCCAGGGACTTGTGTGAATTAAGACAAGATGAATTTGAAAGGGTTTTGGTCAAGTACATGTGACTTAAATGTTCAAAGTCTCCTGGTAGATAACCCTCCATTGAAGCTTGTTTCCTGAGTTAGTATTTGTATTTGTGTATCGATAGAGAAGAAATAAAGGCAAGCTGCTTTTGTTGGAGCCCTTTGGTGAACTTCAGGATCCAGAGGTGTTAGTGTGGTATGCTTCCACAGGCAAGCAGTATCAACTTGCTCTCTTTCTAGGAAACTCCCTGTGGCTTCACAGGGAGAATTTTCTTTAAGCATGGAGAAGGCTAGTCTTTAGTCACCAATAGCAACAATTAAATTTATATATTACACTTCTTAGGACACTGCTCTATCTCCAACTTCTTTGCTACCTCACTAGGTTTATGTTAATGTAGGTTGACTATATAGCTCTCAACAAGTAATCCAAGACAACAGGACTTACACAAGAACTTTTCTGCTTGAGGTTGCTGCTTACCACTGTGGTCACATTAGTTAGAGAGGTTTGGTTTTAGTTTTGGCCACTGTTTTAGTACTGACTTCTTAATTTTCATCTGTTGAGGTAGGTTGGTTGGCATTTCTCTCTTCGCCATTATATTCCCTAAGAATAAAAACCTGAGCTGCATCTTCATAAGTTCCTAGATTTCCATTCAAGGCACCTTTGAAGATATACTTCAGGCAGGTGTAGAAGCTCCGTCTTGTTTCCAACAACACTAGACACAAGTAACTGACTTCCATGATGGTTCTTCTGGTGCGTTGTTGCTGACAGTTCCCCACCTTGACTTTCTAGAACCTATACTATCTTGGGAGTATCATTTCCTCCTATGGCAAATGACATTTGTTTTTTTCTCTTACCATTACTCTGTGTTGACGAGGTGTTGATTTAGCCTTGGGAATGAGCAGGTCACATGGCTCTTTCCATATTGTTACTGTCCTACCGATTAGTTTTTCTTGCCTCCAGCATAGTTCAAATAGACACACACACACACACACACACACACACACACACACACACACACACCTTCCCCTGGTAGAACACATTTCAGCTTTCAGCCCTTCCAAAAGCAGTGCACGGCTCATCTCATCTACAGGAGGACTCACTATTCGGGT